GTGGGCCTATTATATTATATAAAAACCTAGCAATTTCTTTTATTTTCAATCCCGGTTTTTTCGAGTTATGATCGAATGTTGCACATGGTTTATAAAATGCTAGTAGTTAACAGGTTGTTGAGAATATTATTTCTTTGCACCTTTAAAACCTCTAGGCAGTTGTCACATTTGTGTTGAGTTACTAGTAAGGCATATAAGGAGTGATGCAATGCCAAAGCGGTTGGAAGTAGTCGTGGTTTATGAAGGGAGTCTTTTGAGAGTTAGATGAGAAAGGAACCTGCAAGAAGAATCTAGGTCATACCCGAACTTATCTCCCATAACCCCTTGAAAACAAGGTCTTCAATCCTTCACTAAAGCTATAGTTAATAAGGGTTTGTAAGAGCAACACAGAGAATCAGTTGTTGATTCACTGGTTTCACTCATTGTTGTAGGGAACTCTATTGTAGTTGGAGCTAGTGGAACAATTTTCATGAGCTTTGAGTCTGAGAAGCAAAGGCTGATTGCTGCTCCCTTTGTTCCGCTGCATGTGTGCATCGAAGACTCAATTTTTGGTACATTTTTATGTCCAAAGGGATTCCTAGTGGAAACTACATCCTTTGGGGACATAGAAGAGAGTTGATAGTATCCAAGGCATCAACCATAGACTTCAGTTCTTCTAAATAGGCATCCATGCTCCATAGGATTTGTTACGTTGCCGCCTGTTATTCTCAATATTGAACTTCTGTTTAACTTTTAAAGCCATCCAAACATCCATATGTTTCGTTTTCATACTTCAAGTATAGTTCCATGAACATCTCCTCTGAGTATCACATTCAACCAAGAGTGAACACTTTGATCCGTTCTCACCCCAACACTGTAATCCGTGTTGAGATGAGCCCTTTCTTAAATATCAATGATGAATTGAGGAGACCATGGTACGGTCACCTACACATAGCCCATTAAATCATTACTTACATCTACAAATTCAAACAGTGATTTCCAGAGAAAATACATGTGTTAGTCTACATACGAGATGGGTGGCTGTGGCTACTGGGTGCAAGAAGGGACACACCCATTAAGAGGGGAACAATGGTTTTGCTCTCAGAAAGGACAGTGGACTCGATGCTGTATTAGGAGATATCCAAGCATGCCTGTTGCACATGGTGATATCATGGTTTGAGGCGCTGATTGCTTTAGAACCACCAAAGCTGTTGATTTTCATATTCATTTAGTGTTTTGATGAAAACCGAGATATAGGCACACAGTTTGTAACACAACATTTGTTGCAAATAATGGTTTTTGCCACAAGAAGTGAAACATGGTGGTAGCATTGGATTGGAGAGATGTCCTTTATAAAGGAGATATGCACATGATTCATGCAAGTATGCAACATATATGCTACTCTGCTAAAAAGTTGTTATATCTTCTATTGGGAGGTTAAATTATAACTTAGAAAGTTGTTGACTTTATTTATGACCACATAGTCGTTGATACTTTGTTTAACTGCCTACTCATCGTTAGTGTCAATGTTCACAGGTTGCTGATATGATTGTGAGACTTGGATTAGGGAAGAACCCATTGGAATTTTATGGAAAAATTCCCTGGATATCAGTTATCCTCCATCATTTACTTAGGGAACTTCCAACTGAAGTAGTGTGTTCAAATGCTGTGGAAATTCTTCACCTTGTTGAGTGCAGCGACGATTATTCATTTGACCAGGTACCCTTTAGAAGATTCTAGCATTATGCTCACTTTACTTCTGCACAACCTTTATTTTCAATGGATCCTTAATACCTTTAGTACCCACATCCTAGCTGTTAAACTGTTATCTCTTCAGTGTTTAAATTACAAGATGCTTGGATTGAAACTTTGTGAGGGAATATCTCAAGTGAAAGATGTTGATCCCGTAATTAATGAAGTAATTCAGGTACTCTATGTTTTCTATTTCCATTGTTTTCTTTATGTGGGGAACGTGTTTCTCTTGTTTACATTATCTTTAGCATTTTCAAACTTCCTTTTTCTCTGTAAGGATTATATTTTCTAATATATATGATGCACGTCTATGACTCTTCATATTATGCTATATAATACAGGAACACTTTCCATTATTAGTTAAAATGTTGAAAGTAAGATATTCAATCAACCAGATTGCTCTGTTTGAGATACAATTACTAGATTTTTGATTTATTCTAATTATTTAGTGAAAAAGATGGTAAGTGGAGGTTCATAAATTTTCAGCGGCAAGCACTTGTGCATGTGGGGAAGTGAATTTCTTCACATGATACAACATTTTCACGATGCTGTTAATAGCAGTGGAATAGCAGTGAAATAGCGGTTTGCGGTCCTGGAAGGAATCGTGGTCCGCATACATGCTATTTGTGGTTGGGCTCTTTTTTTTGTCTAACCAACTTATATTAGACCTATTTAAATAATTTGGGGTTTTGTTTTGGCCTTGGACTTTTTTTTAATGATTTAAATCACTTAATCCATCTATTTATCTTTTTTTTTTTGATGATAGGGAGGGGGGAGACCCCTCCAGATCAAGGCAAAACACTAAAACGCTAAAAGCCACAATGAAGCGTTCGGGTAGGAGGAAACCTCAACAACCAGAAATACCAAGGCACCCCGAGGGGAGAGAAAGAGGAAGACAGAGAAGAAGGAAGAAGAAAAGAGAGGGAAAAGGAGAGAAAGAAGAAAGGGAAAAGGAGAGAAGAGGGAAGAGAAAAAGGAGAGAGAGAGAGAGAGGAGGGGAGAGAGAGGAGGGAGGAGAGAAAGAAAAAGAAGCCAACCACAAGGGAAGGGCCCAGCCAAGCCAAGACCGGGAAACAAACGGGGGACACCACAAGGGGAGGAAAAGGGGCCTAAAACAGGCACACCCCCATCTATTTATCTTTATGAGTCAATGATTATAAAATTTAGGTTCATTTTTTCGCTCCCGGATCTGGAGGTCTCTGTTCTCAAAGTCAAGAACCCGGTTATACTCCCTCTGAGAGGAAGCATGATCCAGTCAACTCATCGAGCATTCAACCATGTTTCCTAAATCTTTCCACCATCATTCCAAGTCCATTAGTGAATTTCCTTTTCTGGGACTATTAGTCTATTAGTAAATTTCCTTTTTATACTGATTATACATAATACGTTAAAGTGATTTATATTTTACGATTATATATTATATAATGCTAAATTTTTATATGAACCGCTTTACCACCACGATAACCACTGTTTCAAATCATAGTACTGACAGCGATTTGGTACTTTGACCGCTGTAATAGCATAGCTATTTCATGCAGGATTTTAGTGATTGCCACTCATTATTTGTGCGCTGGTTGCTGACAATTTACTTCTCCATTTATTTAGTAATTGAAGAGTTTGAATGAATCAATCTTTATCTCATTGATTATGAATGAATTTTACACACTTCAATACAATTTGAATAGGAAACTCATTCCTACAGAATATTAAGTTCTGCATATACTAAAATTAATTGTGTTTCCTAGTATCCGTATATCCATAAATTATGAAGCTAATTTTTAACACTCCCCTCCAAGTTGGGTTGTACATGCCCAAATTGCAACACAATCTCTCAAAGTTAGGTCCTTGAACAATCTTTGTTAGAATATATGCACATTGCTCGTGAGTTAGAGTTTGTATTACTTGTACTTTACAGTTCTCTATCTTTTCTACAATGAAATATCTATCATCCATGACATGTTTGGTTCGATCATGATGAACCGGATCCTGAGTTGGTTTGGTTATTCCATTTCCCATCACGGATACATTGATTTTACAATGGCGTTCCTTTGAACTTTTATATGACAATCATGTCTTTAACTTTCTATGTTTTCAAACCATATTGTATTCTGATTTATGTGTTCACCATGTTCTTTTTTGAGATTGCAAGGGAGGGGGAAGGGACATACGAACCCATTGCTCATATCTATTATTTACATAGGGAATATGACCCAATACCGTCACTACCACCAATCCACCAAGCTCAATGCTTGATGGATGTAATGCTCACTGGTTTGAGCTCATGGTTGTTTCATGTATATCTGCACAACTACTTAGGTGCTTGCTTGATTTGTATAGGCTTGATGACAATTGCAAATGACTATGCTTATGTTTATAATCCATTGGATTTTGGATCCTTATGTCGATCATATGTCGTAGCCACTACATTAATCATCAGATAATGTCAACTCTATCACTTATCAGTTTGTCAAAGTTTCATTACAGGTTGCTACCGAAAGGAAGAGCCTTGATGAGTATTTGAAGATCTTGGATGCTTATATGGATATTATTCTACAACATAAGATGGTAAGCTTTGCTACTTATGATTGCAAAATTTGTTTTGGTGTGTACCAACTTGATTTAGTTCTTACAAACCTAGTGGTAAAGATTTGTTGGAAGTAGGACATATGTTTCCTCTTATTTGGGATTACGAGTGATTTACTATGCATAGTATGTAACAGGGACGTTCCAATCTTTTTGGAGGCCTTGTTACATCTAAAGCTTTTTATTACACTACAAAATGAGATCACAAAGATACATATATACAAATCACAGAGGCGATGATGAGGCATATTACTTTTGTCTCCTGATAGACATTAGAGAGGCACAGAGTTGGGCTATAGTTCTACATTCGTTGATGAAAAAACCCTAAACAATGTAAAATTGGGCCCCAAAATTTGGAGGCCCTGTTAGGAATCACACATTTAACATGCTAAAAACGACCCTGGTATGTAAAAGTATACTTGTGCTTCTTAAGTACTCCCTCCATCCCAAAATAAAGTGTCCACACTTCCATCACGTGTAAAATATTATTTTTGCTCACAGTTATACTATATATAGGATTAACCAGGATAGGCTCCCTTTGCCAGAGTAATATAGAACATGATCTGAAGTATTTGATATTAAAACCATTCGTAGTCTGTTTGTAGTGGGCTTTTGCATATATCACAGAGCATGTTAACTATAAATGTGAGAACAATAGGCCGACCATCTCTTAATACTTGCGTGTTTGCCAATGTTCTTTACATTTCAACCATATATTCCAGGATCTTTATCTAAATTCCATTCTAAGTGAAATATTTGAGAGATTGTGCAATGAAGTGGTTACCGAAGCGGAATTGGCTAGCCTGCAATCAATTGCTCTGAAGCTGATCACACATTTTGATGATATGAAATATGTTTTTGAGCTGGTAAGTTTGTTATACTTGCTTGATCTCTTTTCAGCAAAAATGGAAAGAAGAAGAAGTAAATGGAAAATGTTAAAGATTCACTTGAACTTCATATTTATTTGGCTCTCAATCTATTCTTGGTTATATTATTTGCTTGTTTCTCACCGAGGTGCTTTCATGCGAAGTATTTTGTCCTGACAGCCATTGTTTTTTGCGTTACTACAGAACTATTTTGTTGACATATTAGATGTCATGCATGGGAGCTCAAGAAGCATTGTGGATATGCACATCCTTACTAATGCCACAAGGTAGTGTTTTCTGTTAATTACATATTGAATTGATAGGAAAATACTCCTGCTCCGTGTACTACATTTTTTCTTTATGAAGCTCCGTATAACCGAGACTAGAAAAAATTTCAAGTGGTGGCACCATTTGACTCTAAGAAACAAATATAGGGACATTTTCACAAAATCATTATTGCTCTGTTGGTTAGTTCATTGCTTTTCACATGTGAGGTCATGTGTTCAAGTCTTTTATTGCAATTTTTTCAGAAACATAATAAATAAAATTAAAAGCTAAAAACTAAGAAAATGACACTAACGAGATTCAAACTTGGGTCTGGGGTGGAAGAAAAACCTTGTAGACCAACTCAACCAAGGGAAACTTGTATTCTCATTGTAGTTTAAAAATATATACGGTGCACACAACAAATTGATACTGTGGCACTTTTTACGACCCTGTAATTTTTTACACTACGATGGAGGAACGAAGCGGTGGCCCGTGCCACCACATGCACCACCTGGGTCCGTCCCTGCCTTATAATCAAGTCTAACTCTAATGAAGTAATAATCTAGTAATTTATGATATGAGAGGTAACAAGTCCAACAATTTGAGTTCTACTCCCTAGCAAGTATATATTGTGTGATAGACATAAAGTGAGGTGGGGTTTCTTAATTTTAGTTCACATAAAATTCAACATAGATAACTTATTTTAAATAGAATGAAAATTATCCCTCTATCATAAAAGAAAAAAGTTCGTTGGACCAAACCTTTGACTTGCCAAATAAATTAAAACATGATTTCAGGTAGGCTGGTGTGGACACGAGAATATGACCAAGCCAAATGGGGGTGAAAACCATAAACCGAAAATATATTATTTTTGTTGTCTTTGGTGCTATTAAGTGACATAGAGCATCGTTCATCTTTGATGTTATTTAGATATGAGAGTCAGCATTGGTTTCTGACAAGCAATTGATACTACAACTTGTGCTCTTAAACTTAAAGCTTTAGCATCTTTCTAAACCATATCTGGCCTACATGGGGACGTTGAATTTGTTGTCAATGGGTATTAGTAATTAATACGTGTTGGTAGAACTACATTATTATGTCCACAATTATTTGACACTGTTTGGTACATTGATTTGTCAATTTCTACATGATGTAATACATATGGGTACTAATTTCTCCTGTTGAATCTAATATGACGATCGAGCAGAAATGATCGCATTGATGATCCTACCACCATAAAACTGCTTTTTGATGTTGCTCAGTCTCTTCACGATAGTGTTAATTTCCCAAGCACGAGACAGGATGATAATCATCAGGGAGAGCGTTTGATTGCTCGTTTTGTTGATAAGGTGCTATTTTTTGTCTTCTTAAGTGATAAATTCTTATTATGCAGTGTAAATAACTTCATGTTTGTTTCTTTTTAATCTCCTGATGATTGCTTCAGGAAAACTTTCAACGTATATAATCAATAATGTTCGCTATCCATCATTGACAGGTTGACCATGGTAAGGAGTTGGATCGCCATTTGACTTTCTTGATTGAATGCCGTGGAGCTTTTAATAACATGAATGATCTGAAGGTATTCATTATGAATAGTTGCTAAACTGTTGACATATTTTTTGCTTTGCATCATGATAAAGAGTCGAAGTTTCTTCTATTTAGCGAAGGTTTTCTGCAAGGCGTATTTGGTATTTGGATATTTTTTGTTTCAATGATTTGGCCAATCATGAAAGATTCGTTATGAAAAACGTAACAAAATTTTATCGCCAACTAATTAAGTAATGAACGGGATGGTGGCTGTCCTGATGCATGTAGGACATCCCCATGGTTTATGATAGCTGCATATTATTAGTGATGGTTTTGATTCAACTTGCAGGAAATTCTTGTTCATTCGAGCAATCTTTTAGCAGCCAGGGCTTTGAGAGAGAAAACTGATCATATCAACTTTATCAAATCTTGCATTACTTTTAATGAAGTTACAATACCATGTATTCCGTCTTATTCGAGGCAGTTAATCTTATATCTTGAAACAGCAGAGGTAAAAGTATGTAATTTTTGGTTTACTTAAGCCAAAATGGATCAAGATCCCTCTTTGGCTTATTATGTTTCATGTTAATGTCAGGTTTCTCTTTTTGGAGGTTTGATTTCCTATTCAGATGGACTTGTTGATTCCGCTATCGGCTGCTTACAAAACGTTTACTTGGTAGATGGTCAGTTTCATAAGTTCTTGCACTATAGAAGCTTCGATAAGCAGTTTTGTGAAAAAAGTTTAATGAATTGCATTTATATCCAACTAACAATTTTTTTTTTAACTTCATTGCATCTCATGGACATTTTATGGTGATTACTTTAAGGAATCTTTTAGGAGCCTTTTCGGTTGGAAAATATGTTATTTAGTGGAATTATATTAATTCATTTTCTATTGAGCTTCTTGTAAGAATTATACCTAACGAGCAAGAAAAATATACCCTTGTGCATTTTCCAGATTTTCTTGACATGCTCTCTTCGTTTCTAAGTTAGCTTAATTGGGAATGTAGGCTTGCGGAAATCCAATGAAGATGCTGATGGTATTGTTTCCTTGATGCAAAGGTTATGCAGCTTCATGCTCTTGGTTCCAGGTTTATTCATATTTAACTTACTAATCTTAAAAGTAATTGTTCACATAAAAATTCATAACAAAGAAGGTTCCGTTAGATTGAAGGTTCAAAATACAAATCTTTTGGTGTATTAGTGAAATTTTATCATTCCCTCCCACTTTCTCATATATACATACATATATATATATATACATACATATATATATATATACATACATATATATATATATATATATATACATACATAGAGAGAGAGAGGGAGGTTCCATTAGGAACCTAAAATTGATTAGGAACTTGGGAACCGCCCACAACACGCCACATTTGTCCCTCTTCAGGATGAATATTCATTATGAATAACACATTCACGATGAATATAGATGTGCTATTCATCATGAGTCACACATTCATGATGATTATATCACAACATATTCGTGATGAATACGCCACATGTTGCCAGGGGTGGAGCCATGAATTTTGCCTAGGGTGGTCCTCTTTAGTAAAACCAAAAATAGATATATGATAATATTGTATTTATGACAAAGTTCAATCAAAAGATATATATACATTTCAAAAGTTTAACACTAACCTTTACATATTCAACAATAAACTCGACTTGTTTTCATTTTAAAAAAATATCAATGATATCTTCATTAGCAACATTCAAAATTCAGAGCACGGGATGGATTTGGAATGAAAGAAGAAACTAGAATTCTGGAAAGGAGGAATGAGATTGGGCCTTTGATAGAGTGGGCCATCATGTATAATAACAATAAATAAAAAAATTGGCCTTATTTAAAAAATATAAAAATTTGCATATGAGGTTGCGCTGTGGACGGTCCCCTGGTTCCTAAACATTTTTAGGTTTCTAATGGAACCTGTTCCTATATATACCGTGGGTTTTCGGGCTAGCTTACACGGACCGACTAATCCTGTCGAACACGAATGGCCTGGAGTGACCACAGGTGAACCTCCATGGCCACAAGGGCTTGTCAGCTCCTGAATTTCAACCCGTGGAAGTGCAGTTATGTGATGTTGTATTTCCTAATTCTTTGACAAAGGTAACTGGGAACAAGGAGTTACTTACATACCGAAGAGCATATTATCCTTGCTTGATTCACAATCATGGTTAGGCTTATATTTCTCAACTTCAATAATATCTTATATTCAAATTTACCTGCTTTATGTTTTATCACGATTTTGTAGGATGACACCAAAACTAAGGATAAGGGTCCTATGTTCACTTCTTTCTTTATCCGCAACATTTGCTCAAAATGAGCTCCCATATCATGCAATTCATGAAGGGGTACTTCTGCAATCTTGTTTACAGCTTTTATAGAGTGTTTGACTTTGGTATCATTGTGTGGGTATATGTATGGCTGTAAACGAACCGAACGAACACGAATGGAAGCTTGTTCATGTTCGTTCGTTTAACTTAACCGAACAAACGAACGAACACAAACTGTAAACGAACGAAAATCTTTGGATTCATGTTTGTTCGCTTAGATTTCAGGTGTGTTCGTGTTCGTTTATGTTCGTCCGTTAACATGCTAAACGAACGAACATAAACGAACGGGCTAAACGAACATAATGAATGAGTTAAACGAACATAAATAAATATTATTTGAATTCAAAGTAAATAAATAAAAGATTATATATTAAATTTAATATATAAACGAATATAAACGAACGTTAAATGAAAGAACGTTCACAAACATAAATGAACGAACGAGACTCTTGTTCATGTTCGTTCGTTTAACTAAACGAACAAAAAAAATTGTTCATTTTCGTTCATTTATTAAATAAACGAACATAAACGAACTTCCCGCCGAACGGTTCGCTAAACGTTCGGTTTGTTTACAGCCCTAGGTATATGGTTAAATTTTTGTAAATCTGAAACAGAATACGATTTAATGCTTTTTTCAGGTAATTAGCAATGACCGTTTATTCTTTGGTCATGCAATGTATTCCCAAGAGCTTGTGTCATTATCTAGTGTTATTCTTCATAACATGGTTGATATTATTCCACAAGAACCTTCACAGGTGATTAAGTACAAATTAAGTTGCTAATTGGGAAAGGTTTAGCCGTTTAGTGTGTCATCGTGATGCTAATTTGATAATCTTGGTCAGGCTGCACGAGGAAAATTGGCACTTGAAGCTTGCAACTGTATTGCGTCGCTTTTGAAGGTATGTTTTATATGATACATTATTGTTTTTTTTTTCAATCTGCTATAAAATTTTGACCTATTTGGTGCTAATGTCACTGTAATTACCGTTAGGATCTATCACACAAAATAATAGATGCAGGAATGAACAATCAAAACACATATACTTGAATCAAAGAGACATAAAATAGATAAGATTGCTATAAAAGTTTGACCTATTTGGTGCTAAAATAGATAGATTGCTATAAAATTTTGTCACTGTAGTTACCTTTAGGATCTATGATCACTTGCTCTCGGCATGTAGCTCAGTTGGTAGAGGAGCGGAGTAACTTTGTTCAAATACACAACAGGCTTAAGTTCGAATCCTGTGGGAGACAGGCTTGAACTCCTCTGCCAGCCTCAACCACTGAATCAACTCTGAAATGGGACTCTAGGAGGCGGGTTTTGTGTGGGGCCGATAATCAAACTTTTGCTCAAAAGGATCCATGATCACACAAAATATTTGATGCAGGAATGAACAATCAAAACACATTCATTTGAATCAAAGAGACATAAAATCGATAAGATGGGAAACCGGTAACCATTTTCTTTTAAGGTTAGGATTTATGGTTGGATCCACAAAGTCATAATATAGTCCAAGCCAAGCTCTATGTTTTTTTCTGGAAGGGCGTCCCGGGGAATAATCCCGACAAATTGTGACTGCAGGAAATCAGCTTCGATAAACCTTGTTCCCAAGCTCTATGTTCGTGGTGGTTGGTCTAACGTCTCCTCTTAAGAACCCTAGAATTCGCTACTCGTAGTTCTTTTTAGCAAGCAACATTTTAGTATGCTATTTGTCTTGTTATCTTGTTGCCTACCATCTCTCATAGAATCCAACTCAAGCTATGCTAAGGGTCTAAAAGGGTCATTTAGGTATATGACCTTAAATGAGTTCTTAATTAAATTCATGACCTCTTGGCCTATTAAATAAAAAATGGTTTCATGCTCATCAGAAGGTCATGGATTTAATTAAAATCTCATTTAAGGTTATATACCTAAATATCCCTGTTGTTTTTTCTACTCATGAGTCATGAGTCATAAGGTACAACTTTACAAGACAATACATCTATATCAACCGTCAATAAACCAAACCGAACCATTTGAACCCAGTGAATCCCACATGAAGTAGGTCCACAAAGGCCATGATGTATGCAGACCTTACCTCTACCCCCAAATAGTAGAAATGATTGTTTCTTTGAAGACTCCAACTTGAAAAAAAGGTTTTGAGAAAAGGATCTTTGTAATCAGAAAAATGTTCCAAAACTTGGGAAAAGTTCGAGAGAAGAAAAAGGTATAAAAGATAGAAAATATAAGATAGAAGCTAGATATGCAGGTTAGCAACCGTCAATAGACCAAGCGAGTATATCCGATTTGGAGGAGGGGTGTAGGGAAATAGATATGATAAAGTTTTGAAAAGCCGGTTAAGAGAGGGGTCATTTAGGGAAATTACCTTAAATAGAATTTTAATTATATTCATGACCTTCTGGTCTGCTAATAGAAAAAATTGAAGATATTTAGGTATATAACCTTAAATGAGATTTTAATTAGATCCATGACCTTCTGATGAGTATGAATCCATTTTTTTTTTCTAATAGGTCGAAATCTCATCTAAGGTTATGTACCTAAATGACCCTATAGAACAGGAAAGATGGTTTTAGTAGGCATTTTATGTCTCTTTTGTTTATTGTCGGGTTTTCTTCATATAAATGGCGAATTTGGTGGTTTTTATAGACTTGCTATAAACCTCTTTGTTGACGAAATTCATTGTTGGAATATTTGTTGTGAATTCGGTGAAGGTGGATCAAGAAATATCGTCCATATGCTCTAAGTTGGTGGAGACGGCGGTATCATGTCTTGGAGCCAATAACAAATATTTGCAGTCAACGATTAATTTTGTGCATAAACAGTCCCCAATCTCGGTCGGAAGAGAATGATTATCATATAGATCGAGCACAAAATCAAGGTCTCTGCTTTTCTACAACTCCCAACTCCAACTCAGAGCAAAACCAAAGGTACTTTAGATGTTCGATAAAAAATCAAACAAGTTTCTCAAACCGAATGTGAAGGAAGCATTGCAATTTTTGCTTTCGTTGGAAGGTTTTAATGTTAAAACTTTGGGAAATAGAAATGACTCAAATCAAATATTACCGAGGCAACTTTGTACTCCATTTTGTGTACAGAACGAGACATGACAAAAAGGCCTTAGTTTGATTTGACATTGACATTGACATAGACTTGTGACTGGTAGTACCAGATTGACATTTTTTTTGTCCCACTGAAGTTGGACCAACCGTGACAATTTTGTTGTCGTTAACAGTTTTATGTCAAGTTCAATTCAATCCCGTTTTATCATGTTCGATAGCTTTCTTATACTTCATCTAATTGTTACTTAAAGGATTCAATCATCAATGTTGTTGAAGCCTTAAATGGAAGACTAGATCCAATGCAATTTGAGTTCCTATGCTCCATGAGACCTTGTGTATAAGAAATATGTTTAATGATGACATTATTTGAAAAATATGCTTCAGAAATCGTGTTATCTACAAAATTACCATCTTTATTAATATCTATTTGATAGTATACGCGAAAGGGAGATCACGTACAAACTAACAAGACGTATGTTCGACGACGGTTACATGATGGAAAATTGATTGAACTCAGATAATTTTTTTGATAAAAACCTAAATTTTGTTAATTTATAGATTAAAAAATAAGCAATTTTAAGAATTTATATTATCCCTGGTTGGGAGTGCAAAATTATGACCTCACAATTATACAATGCTCAGAAGCCTAAATTTTGTCAACTTTTACATCTTGAAATATGAAGTAATTTCAAAAAGACAAATTGCATTGATTCATTTAAAATTTTTATTTTAGTACTTAAGATGTAAAGTTTTAAAAATTTAAGTATCTGGGTAACCGATTAAAAAAAATCCATTGTAAATAATATTGAGTATGATAATCGGTTAATGTTTCAACCGATTACCCGGGTACTTAATGTTTAAAACTTTACATCTTAAGTACCAAAATGAAAGTTTTAAAAGTGCATTACCCAAAATAAGAATCAAGTTAAAATACATTACTTTTTCATGCAATTTGCTTTTCAGAATAATCATTTTGATCTAAGTTAAAAATAAAAAATTATAGCAGGAGATGGTTATGAGGTCAACCTCTTAACTTGTATGGTTTGATGGGTAAAGAATTGGAGTATTTTTGCCTTTGAAAAACCGAGTCATTTAAATATATAATTCTAAATGAGTTTTTAATTGAATTCATGGCTTCCTTACTTATTAATAGAAAATTAGCTTTAAATTTTAGGGTTCTTAATTTAATTAAATACTTATTTAAAATTATATACCTAAAAAACATAAGCATATTTTTGTTAAGACTTTAAGTTAAATGTTTTAATAATGAGGGCATAGAACTCAAATTGAATACTTTCTTTTTTTATATAGAGGGTATAGAACTCAAATTTCCCTTGGAAGTTTTGTCAATTTTTTTAATAAAATCACCGTTTATATAAACACTTATTAAATTAAGTATTTATTAGTAAGAATCTAACACTTTAACCTATTTTAAAGTTATTTAGGTAAATAATCTTAAATGAGTTTTTAATTAAATTCATAATCTCTTGGCCTATATAAGAAAAAAAATGGGTTTATACTTATGAGAAGTCATGATTTTAACTAAAATCTCATTTGAGGTTATGTACCTTAAAATCTCCCTAACGTAAGATTGTAATTCATCGAAACAATATTGTATGCAACAATTTACCTTATAAATATTTTACTACATAAGAGTCCCCATATTTATTAATGGGGTAAGATTTTTCATAGACCTTTATTATATTTTTTTTCATCTGAAAAGGTGAATGATCTGATAAAGGGAGAATGTTTTAATAAGATGTAAATATTTATTTATTTTTCTAAAAGAGCAATTTTATCGAATAATTAAATCAAATAGAAAATACATGTTCTTGGAATTCTCTCTCCTAGGGTTTCTTTAAACTCAAATCTCACTTCGTTTTGGGAGTTTCCAATCCACCAAATTGGTTTCAGAAGGAAATGGATATCGAAATTGTTGGGAGGCATGCGCTTCTCTTCGACGATGATACCACAGCAGCCTTCGTTAACTCCGATGACGCACTTGTGGAATGGAATTATCTACAAATCGATCGTTACGACGTCCGCCACCTCCTTTCCACCCCTCCGCCGTCTCGAAGGCGGCGCAACCCACAAACATCGCACTCATCTAACGCTGATGCAGAAATTGATTATGAACGATACCTGGATCTCCCCTCACCTTCCGAGGAACAAGGTAATAACATTCACTTCTTACACTAATGGTTTGCATTTAATTTTCATGAGTTTCATGACCTAATTGAGTGTTTCGATTTGAAATTTTTGATTGTCTTAACAAAAGAATGGAAATAAGTGTAAAATTTATTTACTTTGCTAGGATTATTGTTTTTTTTTTGGGTATAGGATCGAGTCAGGTTTGCATTTGGTAAATTTGAATGTTAGTTGAGCGAGAATACTTCATTTTTGAAACTTGAATATCTCATTTTCGATAGATGAGTCTGCTGGCCATTGGTGTTTGACGTAGCACGTGAACTATTTTTGTTGCAAGATGATATTTTTGAAGTTGTACAATATCTTGATGGGTTAATTACTTTTGAGATGAGTTGCTTCTTGATACAAAATCAACAAGCCTTTTATGCAATCATCACAAAGGAAAGGTTTAGTAGTAATTATACAGTGTATAAGAGTCTGCAGGATTTTGTTCTGAGGAATTAAATAATGTCAAGTTGGATGATATAGAAGCTATAATTTCTCTGAAAGGCAGTGGGCTCTGGAACCCTGAAAGCTGTTTTGATATGGTGCAACCGTGCAAGTCCTAAAAAGTTTCTAAATAAATTTACGACATTAATGTGATTTCTAATTCATTGTCGTGGCCTTATAATTGTTTTAGAGGTAACTGTTCTTCTATTGCATCTAAAAGCACTGTTATATTGGTGTTCTTAATTCTATTCCAACTGTTCTGTCTTATTCAGAAGCGGATGCAAAACCAGAACCTGTGGGTGGATTTAATGCCGTTCCTTTTTCTTATGGAAGCTATGTGGCTTCTAATGATCAAAAGACTGCCGAGACTGAATCAGAATGCCCTGGATTTCATCCCCCCTTCCCTGTTCCTGACAGCCTGGTTCAAAACTTGGTAAGTTCAAATACATCAGCTTTCTAAGAACTTCAAGGCCTTGATGCTATTGTTTATTTGTTTAACTGTTACTTAGATGAATGAGACCGAAGGATAATTCTCTAAGGTACATATGTTATTTAAAGGCTTACCATGTCTAAGTTTACAGATGCTCGGAGCAGGGATCGAGTTGTGACCTAAGGTTGCCATTCACAGGCACCATGTTCTCTTTTGATATCATGTGCAAGGGTCCGTGCAGGTGGGGTTAGGATTATAGAATGTTTTATTACCGTAGTATGGAAAAATCATCACACAACTTGAGAATGGAGCCATACATCCTCAGTGAACTATATTCCTTCATTTTGTTAGGTTTATTATGCTTATTTGGCATTTCCAGTAAAATTTCTATGTTTTGTCATGCAAACTTGGTAATTCCGTTTGCTAAAAGGAAGTCTTCCTTGTTTTCTATTCGTTTTGTGTTTCTCTAGCCTCCTACAGAGAAGGTTCATCAGATTATTGCGAGGACTGCTCTTTTTGTCAGCAAAAATGGAGGTCAATCCGAGATTGTTTTGAGGGTGAAACAAGGAGACAATCCGACTTTTGGTTTCTTAATGCCTGATCATCACCTACATCCGTACTTCAGGTTTCTGGTCGATCACCAGGATCTTCTGCAGTCAAAAGACAACGGACAGGCTGAAAATGATGAGAAAATATCCAATACTGAGAATGCGGCAGGAGCAGGAGCACTGTCTTTGCTTGGTTCTGTATATGGCACTGGTGAGGATGAGGATGGTGGAGCCGAGCATGCATCATCATCTAGAGGTGTATCTGATGTTACCATCCCTCTTGCAGCAGGCAAAACCATGTTACCAGCTGAAAAAGATGAGCCTGTTTCAAAGCATTCACTTTCTTCTAAGGAAGATGCTCCTATTATAAAAAGGAATTCCTTGACAAATGCATTGAAAACTGGACGAACTAGCAGCATGAGAAAAGGTGAGTCCTTGGGTTCACTCTCTGCTGTTCCAGATAAGTTGCGGGCTTCTTCTCTTCCTCCTATTCCCAAGATCGAGAACATGCTCCTGGATCCTCCCTCTGACATGAAACGGTTAGTTGACAAGATAGTAGAGTTCATCATCAAGAATGGGAGGCAGTTTGAGGCAGTACTTATGGAACAAGACCGAGCCCATGGGAGATTCCCGTTCCTAATCCCATCGAACAAATTCCATCCATACTATTTAAAAGTTCTCCAGAAAACCCAGGAGGTACTTTCTTCTCAACAATTTTGTTATATTATTTTATTTGGTGCTTGAATCATGGTGCTCTTCATAGTTCATACTCAACTTTACTCGATTTTCTTTAGGCTGTATCGTTGGCAAGGAAGTCCACTTTAACTTGCTTATGATTTACATGCAAAGTTATGAGTACAGTTCTTAGTTATGCAAACTATTGTTTACTAGAATACAATTTTCAGCTTCTAATTGCAATTTGCAGCCTGGTAGTCTCATAGCAGATTTGGTAACTCGTCCATTTGAAACACTTGTAGTTAACCAAACACTTCTCCCCACCAGATGCAAATTTACTTGCTGAAAATAGCGTTGGATGCTCAAATTTTAACTTGCTATTTATCACATGTCGAGCATATTACTGTAAGTAACTCATTCCTCAACACTACATGATCATTGGTTACCCTTAGTTACAAAGTTTTAGTTGCCTTGGGCATGAGCATAAGGTTTCTTATTGTTGTGGCACTCAATAATTGGAAAAGGAAAAAGGGAGCTTCTAAATGTTTTTAAGTTTTTAGGTGGTCTTTAACTTATAATATCCCTTTGACCCTATCCCATGAAATTACATCAAGAGGGGAAGTGCATTATAAGTATATATTTATGTGTTGACTCATAATGACTAACCAATTCATTCGAGCTATTTTTTCCTCTTCTCAATAACAGAAAATGAAATAAGTATCTTCATGTTCTATCTCAATTCTCTGTTTTTCTGATATCCCTAATGTATAGGTTTATTTGGAAATCAGTGTGCTCATTTTTTAACATGTGTCTTCTCACATGATAGTTTGGTCATAATGATTGTTATCCATTTTCATGGTTCTGGCTTCTATCTTTAATTTGTCAAGTGAACTCATTCTTTCTTTGTGGCTGATTCTTTGCTCCTTCATCTTGTAGTCGAAATTAACTGGCAAGAGTTTGCACAATGAGAAGGAAGATTTCAGAGGACATGTCTTGAATAAGAAAACGTCTATCTCAAGGGACACTGAAAGTTGTTTGATGGAATCTGATGATATACCACTTGATTCTGAAAGGAAAGAAAAGTTTAAGATGGTAATTAACAAGTCTAAAAGGGAAGGATCAGATTTGCCATCTAAAGCGACACAACCACAACTTGGGGTTCAGGTGGATGCTGCTCAAGCAGCAGCTATTCTGCAGGCTGCTACAAGAGGCATTAAACATCCAAATTTAGGGATCCTCTCAAAGATGTCGCTGAATGGCAACAGTTATGGCCCCAGAAGTGAGGGTGGGCAACCCTCCAATTCATCTCATGCCAATAATGCTGCTAAAGAAGTCGCAAGTGAAGCCGATTCCTCTGAGGCACACTTGACTCAGGAGCAGAAACTGAAGGCCGAGAGATTAAAACGGGCTAAGATGTTCGTGGCAATGCTGAAAAGTGGAGCTGCTCCATCAAAAACCGAATCCTCGCGTGGCTTATCAGCCGAGCCACAAGGATCAGGGGAGTCTTTAGGCGATGACAATCGCTTTGCAGCCAAAGAAAGAGAGAGGAGCATGGTACCTTTGGATTTTGAAACTTCAGACAAAAAAATAAAATCGGAAAAGGAACATTTGGACGAAGAAAGACGAGCAAAGAGGAAATACCGAGCTAGATCTAGCAGAGACGAGGAAGGTGAAGCAGCAGAAGATGAAGAAGAAGAAGAAGAAGATGATGATGATGATGATGATGATGATGATGATGATAACGGTGAGGGTGATGAGAGGGGAGGAAAACGGTCAAGTAAACACCGTACAAAGAAGCACCGATCTCATAATCATCTGGTTGAAGAAGAGAGTGAAGAAAGATACGGGGATGAGAGAGCTTATAAGCATACAAAGAGAAGGCATCGATCTCATCGTACTTCCCATAAACATGGTGACAGGGACAAACACGATGAAGAAAGGGATCATAAGCACTCAAGGAAGAAGAAGCGTCGATCTTCTAGTTCTGTAGAAGTTGATGAACAAGAAAGTGAACCTGAAAGGGTACATGAATATGCTAGAAAGAAGCATCGTTCACACCATTCTTCACATGATGAAGGGTCTCATGATGAAGGGGAAAGCAGGCTTAAATGTTTTAGGAAAACGCGCTCTTCTCGTGGAGAAGATGAAGGACGGGAGGACAGGCACTCTAGGAGGAAACGTCGGTCTCACAAATCTTCTCATCATAGTAGAGATAAGCATAAGCATAGGAAAAGTCACTCGTCTAGGCATAGGCGGAAGCCTGATGTCTCTTCGGAAGAGGATCGGATGGACCATAATAAGGCCCATAAGCATGTAAAAGGATCAAACTCGGAAAGAGAAGAACTGGAAGAGGGGGAGATTAGCTCAAAGTTATCGGGTCAGTCGAGAGGAGGACCTTTGGTTGATGTTGCTTGTAGAGAACCTTCGGTGGATGTATCCAGTTCTTATCAAGATCGGAGACCACTGACTCAGCCCTCTGAGACAACCGACGTTCCTGATGACCTCAGGGCCAAAATCAGAGCAATGTTATTGTCCACATTGTAAGTCCTAAACTTCAGTTATTAGTTAGTTTTTGTCTATTACGTTGAAAGCATTCTTCTTCTATTGCTTCATATTTGCACAGCTGTGGGCATTTGATTTTCGAGTCTAGGCTCCAAATTTTACCAAGAATTGTTTTGGTTGTAGTCTTGTAGATTAACAAACTGACAATTGCTTTAAATTGTATCAATACATTGCATTGGCAACAGGTTTTGAAACTTGAAATTAAAGAACTAGAAACATTGACGCTATTGTTGTATTTGACAAATATTTAAAATCAATTAATCAAGTGAACTGTTTCTATTTTTTTGGGACGGGTGATTACAATGTAAACCACAACTCCCTCAGGCCAAGTCGGGAGGCTGATCTTTCACACACACCTAGTCTGGCAAACACCATTTTGGGCTTTCCCAGCATGGCCAGTGCTTTCTAAAGAGACTACAGTGGATTGTTGGAGTCATGTAGTTCAGTTTTATGGAAAACAATACCCCCATGCCATCAGATATGAAGGTGACCAAAAAGTTTCCGTGCCTGTTTATTTCCCCTACCTTACCGATTTCCCTTCTTAATTATGCTGCACCTTCTTGTAGCACCATCATAGTGTCACCTAGTTCAAAAACTTTGTTCTGTGTTGGACCACATGTATTTATATGTGTGTGTATGTATATGCGTATATATATATATATGTATATGTGTGTATATATATGTGTATGTATATGTATGAAATATGTACATGTGTATAGGGGCAGGTTCGTTTAGAAATCTTAAATATTTTCGGAACCCAGGATATTCATGATGAATAAATACTCACAAAATGGGTGGTTCCTAAACTATTTAAGGTTCCTAATGATGCTCCCTCTGTGTGTGTAATATGTATATATGTGTGTGGAATATATGGAAGAAAAGCGTTTCAAATTGCATTGCTGATATGGCAATTCCTTCAATGTCCATCTTGTGAACCGCTGCTTGTTTTTCCTTTCCTCCAAAGACAATCTGACTCTATGTTAGGTTTTGATCAGGTCAGACTGAGTGTGTATGCATTCTCTTTAGTAGTCAACTGATCATCCTATCCTTTTCTCTCTTGGGTCAACAAAAGCAGCCATGAGTAAACAAAAGCAGCTATAAGTCCAATATCCAAGCTATTTGGACTAAACTAAAAATCCAAAAGCAATGGAAGAAATTTAACCTTTAGGGTTTTGGGATATGTTGTATGATACATTGTCTAGGTTCAATTATTTTTGGTATATGTCACTCAAAGGATGTTTGGTTGGTATTACATTAAGTTCTATATGGATAAAGTTGTCTGTATGGATTAATTTACATGTATAGAGCGTGAAGGGTTTTGTTTGGGTGGTTTTTTCATAGATGGAAGAAGCATGCCTTCTAAATGGAAGAGTTAGGTTTGAGAAAAATTTGGCTTTCTGCATAAAGCTCCCTTAGAAGCTTACCAAATAAGCCACTTTTTATATTATTAAGCCATTACCAAACAATCATTTATAGCTGACTTAATAAACTGTGAGTTTCATTAAGCTCATTAAGGGGTTATTTGATTGGTTTTTTATTAAGTCCTTTACAGATAAATATGTCTGGGTGGATTAATTTGTCTTGTATAGATTGGAAAGATTTTTGTTTGGAGGGTTTTTTCAAGATGGAAGGAATGTGTTTTTTAATTGGGAGAGACAAGTTTGGAAGAAACTTGACTTTCTGCGTAAAACTTCCTCCCAGAAGCTTATTGAATAAGCCACTTCTATATGGGTCCTATTAAGCTCATTAAGCTATTAACAAACAAGTCTTAAGTTGCTAACAGACAAACCCTAAGTTGAATTCTTGATCAAGCTTTAGTTCTTCTAACGATCTCGTTTTGTCCACGCTACTTCCAAATTCGAGGCTTCTTAGTTGATTCATTATTGTCCAATTGCATTTTTTCCATCTCTAATCTATTAGAATGCTTTTGGTACGCAAATGAGTAATGGACAGGAATGGACGCGCGAGAGTGAGGTAGGCATGTGAAAGAAATGTGGAAGATTTTAGGGTTGTACTCGTGCCTTTTGTAGTTTAGTAATATACCAATATTGTCCCTCGGTTCTGTCCAGTCCAGTCCTCTCCCATCTTATCCTTAATGTGTCACATTCGCTTCAACATTCATATATTAACCCCAAGGTTTGTGGCGTAGTGGTTAAGGTCCGGGGTGTGGTGGAATTTTCCAGCTGTCTAGGGTTCGATTCCAGGCGTACACAATTGTTGTGGCCATTGAGTTTATCAGGGTTGATTTCTTGCGGTCACAGTTTGAACTTGAACCATATTAGTTTAAGTTATGTTGTATATTGTAAAATAACTGTCTGTCTGCCTCTGCTAGTTGTGTTTATTGTCAAACTGGAACGCTATCCATATTATTAGATCAAAGTAGAAAATGACATTGGTTTGAAAAATTGGCAAACCAGTGATGGTGAAAGTTAAGGAAAGCGTGATAAGAAGGGAAGAATAATAGAACCCCATGTATTAACTTCCCATTGATTGAATTGGTCTATACAACCTTTTGCATTCTTGTTGCTTGACCCACATCCAAAAATTGAAGTTTTCATCATGGTCAAGGACCTAAAATTTCTCTCTGAAAGCTCCATTTCAACTACTCATATTTTGACATATATTCATTCCAGAACTTCTCTTGCCCCCTGTATATGTAATGTATATATGTCTACTCTTTTAGGTAGCGTCTGGTTTGCAGACTAGACATCATAGAACTGGACAACACAAGTTGTTTGTTTGATGTTTGGTATGACTAGGAATGGACATGATAAGACTTGGCAAGTTGCTCTTAATAGTTATTTGATGAGTTTATGTATATAATAGTTATAAATGATACAAATCAAGTAAATATTTAAATGAGATTGTGGGAGGGTAGACTAGTAAATTTTTTTAGTTTATGTCCCATCCTTGTGATTGTAACTTGAAGTTGGTATAAAACCAGTACCAATCGAAAAAAGTTGTTACCAGTTATATTGGTATCAAGTATAATATATAATTTTGCATACCAATTATAATTGGGAGTAGAGGCTCTTTGATTTAATGGACCCAACTAGACATATAAAGGAATTGAGAGGGAATGCAAGCCTTAATTATAATTGTGTTATTGTATTATGTTAGAAAAGATCCACGTTTTGAGTTGCAGAATCCGAGTGGAGGGTCAACTCTTTGGCATTCTAAAGTCATGGTTTTATTAGGATATTACATACGATAACATGTATAGAGAGCCTAGTCAAACCAAGCAGAAAATTGGAATTAAAGATTCTAGTCTTATTTGGGTGTATTATAGAATCAAATGACTATATCCCACACCCAAGTTTCGTTTATTAAGCATTTCTTTTCTGGGTTTACCCAAATGTCACTACTTCCACAATATTCATTTCAACACAAATATGCAATTGCAAAGGCCAAGTCCGCAATAGCAACAGTAAACTGGTTGAATTTGAATTATTTTTGTCTTTTAGCTAATATTGCAGATCAAATTCAAGACCCCTAACTATTGGTAAGCACGTGGGCTTACTAAAAGCCGATTTTTTTATACATCAGTTACGGTTTTTAAGAGGGAGTGAATAAAGCTATGAGTTTGTTTGTTAGTAGCTTAACGAGTTTAATGAGACCAACCACTTATTCGGTCACTTATGCATGACTGTTTGATAGTGTTTTAATAATATAAAAAGTGGTTTATCCAGTAAGTTTTAGGGGAAACTTTATGCAGAAAACCAAGTTTTTTTTTTCAAACATATCCCGTGCAATTAAAAAACAACAGAAAAAGCCCTCCCGAACTATACAGACAAATTAACATACACAGACAGTTTTATTTGTAAAGAACTTAATAGAAAACTAATCAAACAATCCATATCCGATTGTAGAAGAAAATGGGGAGGTCGAATTCAGTTGAGTATGGTTAAATATGTGATTGATCAAGTAATTTGTGTATTTATATATAGTTTGAAGAGTGTGGATGAAAATGAAATGGGAAACATTTCCGTTAAAAGGCATGGAACATGCAATTGCTAGCTTATTATTATATGGTTTTAAAAAGAATTATGAATGAAAGTTGAATTATCTTTTACATTATTATACTTTCATTTCTTTTTTAAGTAATTCTTTAGAAATCTAGAAATATATTATAGTTAATTAATTAATTAATTAATTAATTAATGTATCACATGTAATTGTTTATAGTAAAAATGTGTTCTCGTTTGAACCCTTCTTATATATAGACGAATGATAGTGTGAGAATAAGAGTTAATGTGAGAAGCTTAAGAAGAGATTTCCACCCTTGATCACTTTTAATCTTACTCCCATCCTATGAATTAATCTCGTACATTTTATTAGTGTTGGTCTTCAATTAAGAATGATCCAATCTATTGGCGTTTTATCTGTATCTTCCAGACGGGAAGGGCTTCACAGGGTGGAGCTGGTAGCGTGCGGTCGACGTGTCCTGCGACCTAGATAGCACCAAAGGTTGTTTATGTCTCTGATTTAGTATCACATATAGAGATAGAATTTTACCCGTACCCTAACGGGGCTTGATTTCTCGGGATAGACGGGTAACGGGGCGGGGGCAGGATTTATTTCTATACTCGAAGTGAGGTCGGGACGGGGATGGCATTAATCCGACCCAATTTTTTTAAATTTTAAATATTATGTATATACTGCACTTGTATGTATTTAAGTATGCATATCTTTATTATCAAATGCCAAATATTTTTTGATCTTCAATATTGGTAATTAATATAGCGACGATTCATTATAATTTTGATTTTAAAATATATAGTTTGGGGTTCCCCGAACCCGTTGGGGATTAATCGGGACGGGTTCGGGGGGATAAAACGGGGGACGGGGGATGCATTGTCTACTCTCCTTGTTTCCATCCCTAATCACATGTAATAGATTATAATATCACATTAAGAACATCCTTATTACATTTGATAATAATATCATATGTGATGAAATATAATATTATATGTGATTGACTTTAGTTAAAGGGTATTATCGTAAAATGAATGTGTTCTAATTTGCACCCTTCCCCATGTATGATTACCAATAATTATAATTTTTATCTTGTTCGAACATTAAATTTTAATATATTTACTGGTGAGCCCTTTGTATGTAGCTCAGTTGACCGACATGGTGACTTTATCCAAATACAACAAGGCAAATTCCGGTTCGATCCCCCTCCGCCCCTCCTGTTAGCCTCAGCCGTTGAGTAACCCATAAAATGTCTTCTTACATTAATGTCTTTGGAGGCAGGTTTCATATAAGACCGAATAAAGTTTGTCGGTCATCTAACGTTTTTTTGTCCAAATATAATTACCGGTGAGAAATTGTGTTAGTTTTGGGTTGTTCGTTTAGGACAATTTTTTGTTTGTCTCTTAAAATGACTAAATATGCGCCTTAATTTGTTTAACCTATGTTATAATTTGTTTCAAATAGAAATAGGAATAGAAATAAAAAATAAAAGGACAAAAACGTCAATTGTGGTGGGGGTGTAGTAAGTCCATCTCGTTGACTCTTTGCAATTTTCAAAATGTCACATGGATGCCGGTGGCCGGTCAATACACAGGTCGGCTTCGATGTTACATAATTCATTTTTACCCTTACATAATTCATTAATATTTATTTATTAAGAATACATTTTTTTATTTATAAAAAAAATATATACAAGTATCAAGAAATTGAAGTTTATTCAATTCTCCGTTTTTTTTTACAATTTATTGATTAAGTGATCGTTTGGTTGGTTATTTGTTAAATCCTATAATATATGTAGATTCATTTCTCTGTATAAACCGGAAACATTAATTTGTCTATATTTTTCAATTTAAATGAATCTTATAAACCTTAATATTCTCTCTCTCTCTCTCACACACACACACACACACA